AGATTGTAAAAACGCAATAAATCCTTCAACGTTTTAAAACCCAATTCACGCCATTTTTTTTTAATCATTTCGTATTGTTCAAGTCCGGATAATGGTAAATTTGCATCGACTTTTCTAACTTCTTCTGGAGTTGTATTTAGAAGCATTTTTTTAACTTTGTAATTTTTTTCCAAATAGGTGAGATACTCTTCCTCTAACACATTCCCCTGTTTCAACGTGCTATAAAACGATTCATAAGGAGGGAGACAAGTTTCTTTTAATACATCATAACTTGACATGTATTCGTATGGGAAAAAAAACTTTTCCATTTTAAATTCTGCAGCAAAAGACTGTATAAAATTTCGTAAACTAAATCCTGGCGCTAAAAATTGCATCAAATCTAACAATTTGAACCGTCCGTGTTGGATTCTTACGCTCATTTCTATATATTTGTTCTGCTTTTTTATTACGAATAAATCTTTCCCATTTGTCTTTTGATTATTGATATCTTCGATGTTGCTAAAATTTAATCCTTTTTCCTTTAAAACTTGTATTAACTCCTTCTTTATTAACGGAATATCATACGCGCTACTGTTGAACCCAAACACAGGAAGTGTAGATATATAATCCAAAAATCTTTTAAACATGCGAATTTGCGGTGTATAACATTCAATCAACGTCATTGGATCTTTACCGATCTTTTCCATTATTTCCATTTCTTTCGACATTGTAACCAAATCATCATCCGACATATTTTTTTCTTTTAAAGTAGAGCTCACACTTACAAATCCGTTAAAAAAACTCCCCTCACCTTCTTCCTCCTCATCGTCAATCGCGCTTATAAAGTCATCATTGTGGAGATAATTTAGCTCCTCAGTAGTAAATTTAATAAGTATCTTTCTTTCGGCAAAATATCTCTTTATATATAAAATAATTTCTCTATATCTACAAAATTCCATTTCTTTATTTAATTTCACCAATTCTTCCAGATCATCGACGAAAAAATTTATCAATTCTCTCGGATTTTCAGATATGCGAAATACAGTAGAATAACCATTTTCATCTGGTTGTAAATGATCAATATGCTCTGTTGTCAAATTGCTGCATATTGCGTACGACAAAGGTATATTTTCAAACACGTATTCCTCCCCATCTATAGTCAAATCAGCGGAGTTCTCTTTGAACTGTTGCGAAGAAATTATAGATTCACCATCATCAGAAAACACAAACTCCTCGTCGTACAATTCTTGCATAACTTCTCTCTCTGTCAAAAAATGTTCTTCAGCTTCCTTTTTTAATCTTTCGTTTTCTTCAGTTTCATCAAAAAAGCCGTCTCTTATACTCTTTAATCTCCGATTTTTTAATTCACTCAAAGTCGTTCTTTTAAGCAAACTCTCAAAATCGTAACAAACCATATTTCTTTTAAAATACATATCATTATTATTTTCATTGTTATCAATGTCGTTATTCTCGTCTTTTACAATATCTTTTAATAGTTCATCCGGCAAATGAAACATTTTTTTCAACATTTCAGGATAAAGTTCATGAACATCAACAACTCCAGTAGCGCTAATAAGTGTTACATCAGTATTGCAACGTGTTATTTTTTTGCCGCTTCCAGCTCTATGTCGTAACAAACTTTTCATCCACGTAAAATTCTGTCCGCATACCAGACAACTAATATTGTCCATCAAAAGTCTTTTCTTAATAACCAAATAATAATGCTGATTAAACAAAATTAAGTTAATATTCATTTTCTTCTCGAAAATAAGTCTGTTCGAAGATTTTGACAATAAAGCCATTTTCACTCTACCTTTCGAAACCTTAGGAATAAAAACCATGATCTTACACTTAAACAAAAACTCCATAGCAGGCATGACTTTAACAGATACACCTTGGAAAGTTAATCATCTTCATCATCCGAACTCTCGTCTTCGCTACTCCGACCTCCCAAATCGTCCATTTTGTCGTCGTTCATTTTAAATATTGATATTTTCATATTTGTTATTCGTAAAATATGCACTCGATACGAATAAAACATTCTCCGAACCAAGTCGAAATAGTTTTGTTTATATAAATCTTCGATAACAGAATCTGCGTCATTTTTGTTTTTTATAACGAAAAGATTCGGAACTTGATGAAGAATATCTTTGTTTTGTGGTGTTCTAGTTAAATGTTCATCAACATACCAATGTCTTACAGTCGTTTTTTCTGTATCCAAAAGCATAAAACCGAACGCAATTCCCATTTTGTAAGGTAGTTGATGTACGGCTGCGTTATATACATCATGTATCGAATTTTCCAAAAACTGCCTAAACTGAACGTTTTCAACGTAAGGAATATTTATTTTTATTATGTCCCCGTTTTCTGACTTATGAGAATGTAACATAATTTCCGATGCATTGTCTAAATAAGCCTGTTTTACCATATCTCTCCATACCGATCGTACCTTTTTGACAGCGTTCGTTAATATATCTTCCTGCCCTTTTTCTTCGTTATGTTTAGAACTAGACGCCTTCCCTTCACCCAATAAATCACCACTCGTATCATACAATTCCATTAATTTAACTTCTTTATTTACAGCATTTAAAAAAAAATGCTCCTCATGAATTGCATTTATGTCTTCTCTCCAAGGTTCATATAAAAACTTTAATCTATTTACGAACTTTCGAACAGAACATTGTGTAGGAACCGCTTCTATTTGGAATCCCAAACGACCGTGATTTTTAAGCATGTGTTTGTTACACAACATCAAAGAACTAAACTCCAACGGACAATGTTCGCATTTAAAAGATTGTTTACAATGTCTTTCTTGATGAAGAAACAAATCCTTCTTTCGCAAAAAACCATAACCGCAAAAATTACAACAATTCTCCGAATGTTCCTTCGCTATATGGCTACGAAGTTTGTATTTTGATCTAAATTCACACTGACATAAATCGCATTGAAGTGGATTAGTATGAACTTGTGTCTTGTGCTTTCTTAAACTACCAATCTTACGAAAAACTTTACCGCAAATATCACAAACATGTTCCTCGTTGTTTTCGTGATAAATTGTTCGATGTAAAGTCAAAGAACGAACAGTCGGAAAAGATTCGTCACAATAACGACAATGAAAATTCCTCTCATGGTATAATCTCTTATGCTCCGTCAACGTATTCTGTGTTTTTAAAACACTAGAACATAAATCACAAGAAAAGTGCTTCTCTTTAACATGTATATCATAAGACTTATTATCAGGAAATTCTAACGAACATATTTTGCAAAAAACCATATTCGTAAAAGTACCTTGTATGATGAACCAATCTCTTTATCTCTTATGAACCTTTGCTCTGGCCCCAGACGCTCTGACTGAATTGAAAAAAGCTCTCGCTTTTATAGCTAGACCGAAGTATTGTATGCTAATTTCAAACTATTTTTAAAAAAGAGACGTCATTATTACTGAACAAAAAAATTTGAAGTTTATTCATTTTCAAAGCTAAAAAAAATCTAAGTTATTCCTTATTTAAAAATTAAAGTTTTTTTTCAAAAACCAAAATTTGAAGTTCCTTCGAATAACTTCAAATAAAAAAAACTTGAAGTTTTTATAAATTTGAAGTTTTTTTCTTATTTGACTTTAAACAATAGACGCTTCTCAGTAACCAATCATATGAATGACATTTTAAGATTTAAAATATTAGCCAATAGTAAAGCTCCACATTTAACATCCGTTGCGTAATATGTCAATCATTTATAAAATCACTTAACCAACTCCCAAATTCACAAACTGTCACACCAACGATCGTAATTTTGAAAGAAGTCGAAAAAAATGACGAACAATCAAGCATTCGAAGTAAAAAAAGCTATCGATTCAGCCTTTACGGACGACGAAGAAGATTTAATTCCGTTATCTTTATTGTCCAAAAGACTACTGACATCGTGAGTATATTTCTTTTCTTTTTACTCTTTTTTAAACTGTTCATTTAGTTTAATTAACTTACACATCTTTTAAAAACACTTTTCAAATTTTTTTTATTAAACTTCAATTTTTCATTTAGACGCTCAAATAAAAGAACATCAACGTCGGAAGACGAATCATCACCCAAAAAGAAATGCGAAGGTTCTGTAACTGTAAATCATGCAGAAATATCAAAAGAGTTCAATCGACTAAAAGAGCTGCTAGAACCTTCATTCCCTTTAATGCCATCAATTCGACCACTCGTCGCTCCAGATATGGATACAGACACTGAAACAACGCTCACGGCAAACGAATCAGCAACAGAAGTAGAAAACTTCAACGAATCTACACCAAAACCAACCAAAGTTACTCCAACAGCCCGAAAATCCTTTCCCGCAGCACGAAGTCCACCTACTCCACTAGCCTTCGAGCCGCAAACGCCACCTATTTCAGAACCTGATACAGAGCCTCAACAAGAAAGACCAACAGTTCCACAACCCCTGAACATCTTTAACTTCAATTTATCTGACGATGTTCCAACTGTGAGTAGAGATTTATCTAACTTCCCTTTTAACATTCGACAAAATGACCGTTTTTTTGAGACTTTACAGCAAATTGGCTTAGCTATTGATAATCTAAAAGATTTTTCATTATCTCCTTCTTCTGACGATCATCTTTTTGCTACCTTTTTACCACATTTGACTAATCGACTCGAACCTTTAATGCTGAAATTAACTGGACAGAAATTTGGTATATTTACCAACTTGAAACAACTTTCAATATACTTAATCGATCATTTTATTTTCGACATTCTGAACATTTGCAAATATCTTTTGACGGATCAACTAACAAAATACGAAAACAACGCTGCTCGACTAAAACACCTTAGATCTACTATTAATATTAACTACATTACCAACCCTAATAACCCAGATTTGATTGCCGAATACAAACGGAGAAGAGCTACACAAATTCAAAACGGCAGTTCAATAAGAGAAATGATGCACACAGTTAACAATGTCACTTCATTAAAAAGAAGTATCATATATGAAGACCCGTTGTTCGATTGTCACGATGCAATAAGAGTAACACTATTGTGCGCAATAGATGAAATCATGTCAAAAACTGCCATGACTGACGCTGAGAAAATCAAAGACATTTTTATTAATACAGTTATGTAAAACCAACTATATATGAACATTTTAACTAAGTAGATTAGTAACTACATTTTTTATTATTGAAGTAACTTTTCTTTATATAAACTTGAAGGCGTTGTAAGAATTGTGATCATTTTGTCTCTATCTTCAATATACTCAACATTTTTTTGCAACAAATCTAAAGCAGTAAAATTTTCGAAATTTCTCAAACTTTCATTCAAAAGTGAATCGCCATAAGAATGAAGTAAACTAACAACAGTTATACAATCATTGTATACTGCCAGATGCAAAACTGACTCTTTTTGATAATTTTGCTTGTTTAAATTGCAGCCACATTCAACCAAAAATTGAATTACTTTGCATTTTCTTTTACGAACAGCAATCATTATAGGAGTTTCGTGATTTATATTTTCTGCTTCAATATCGGCTCCATTTTTTATAAGATGTTTTAATAACCATCTATGTTCCATCCAAGTAGAAACATCCGTTTCTTCAATATTTGGAATTATTCGATGTAGAACAGTATTTCCATACTTATCGCGTTCATTTAAACATGTTGGATCATCTTTTACCATATATATAATTTTATCCAATTGTGAAAGTTTTTTATCAGAAACCAATTTTAACAATTCTGTCAACTCTCCCTTATGTTGAAGCTTTTCCTCAAAATACTGTATTGAGAACTCGTCTTCATCTTTCTTTTCAGAAAAACTCAAAAAAGAACCCATAATTTTAAACTTCAACTTTTTTTTATAAAACTTCAACTAACCTTCAATTTTTTAAAACTTCAAATTTATACTCAATTAATAAAAAATTGAAGTTATTTTAACTTAAATACCAGTCCAACAAAAATTAAATCAAAGTTGTGAAATATTATTTTTTAAATATATAACCATATCTTTAAGAATATATAAGTTATCTTTGTCGGCTTTAGAAACTTCAATTTCCTTTTGAGAACATTTCTTCTCCAAATCTTCTTTCATTTTTACTGCAAGTTGTAACGCTGTTAAATGTTGGTTGTTTTTCTTCAGAGGATCAACATTAGAACAAGAACTTTCAGAACGTCTCAAAAAATCGCACCAATTGCCAACAGCATAAAAACCATGCAAATGTAAAGAGATTACAGCTTTGTGCAAAACACTATTTCCGTCGTAATCGCAAATAGACAAATCCACCTCTTTGCGAAAAAGATAAGAAGTTAGCAATATTTGCCCCTTCTTTATGGCAATCATTACAGGAGTTTCTCCAACGTTATTTTGCACATTTAAATCCGCATTATTTCTTACAAAAATTTGAAAGAAATATTCCAAAGTTCCCCAATCTTCTTTGTCTTCGTCCCAATATTTACAAACTTTATGCAACAATGTATCTCCTTGTTCATCTCGCTGCATCAAAACTTCCACATTGTCGCAAACTCTCATATTTATGAACAAACGTAATCTCCAATCTAAAAAAGGAGAAATTCTTCTGTCAAAAAGTTCGAAGATATTTCTTTTACTCTTACAGTACCTTTGAAGACCTTCAGTCGGAAAATACAAATCAGGATACTCAAGTTTGTCGTTCCTCTTTTCAGCCATCTCAAGTTTGTTGTTCGTCTTTTCTGTCATCTCAAGAAAAACTAAAAAAAAAACCTTACGGACGATCTTTTATACAATTTTGCCTCTGCGGAGCAGCCTACCACGTGGTCTTATACAAGACCCTACGCAGGAGCGCTAGGTTTAATATGCAACAGGTGGAACCCTAGTATACACTACTCTGGAGGAGCATCAGCTGATGTTAATAAAGATGTCGAGAAGAAGGCAGCTGATCTTGATATCTTAATGAGCAAAATAAAGGATAAATTACCCCATTCTGAATACAGTCTGAAAATTCAGATGCTCACACTAACACCTGAATCATGGAGCATCAAATTTGCCTCAGACTATTTTGGAGTTTCTGAATACTCAGTAAGAAAGGCTCTGGAATTGAAAGGCCAGAAAAGTATCCTTGCTTTGCCAGAACACAGAATAGGAAAAATACTGTCAGATGATATACACCAAAAGGTTAGGTCATTTTTTGAGGACGACAAATATTCTCGATTGTTACCTGGGAAAAAATACTTTGTCAGCATTGGAAGGAATGTTCATGCACAGAAACGTCTATTGTTATGTAATTTAAAGGAACTATATGCAAGTTTCAAAGAATCCAACAGTCAAGTTGGGATTTTCGAAGTTCTGCTCTTTGCGACCAAAATGGTGTATCACTGTTGGCTCTAGTGGGGCTCATTCTGTCTGCGTATGCTCCATTCATCAAAATGCAATTCTTCTGGTGGATGCAGCAAACACTGAAAAAACATACAAGGAAATGATGGATATGGTTGTTTGTAGTCTTGACTGTAGGGAATGTATGGTGCATCGATGCAAAGATTGCCCAGGAACAACTGCTCTCAGCTTTTCTTGATGGGGCCTTCAGCGAGACTCAAAATGATATCTCTTTCAAGCAGTGGCAAAGCACTAATCGTACTGAATTGGTAACTCAAACTCTCTCTGTTGATGAGTTTATAGATCTTCTTGTGAAAAATATTGACAACCTCACTACACATTCCTACATCACAAAATGCCAGGCAAGATACTTGAAGAGTAGGAAAGAGAATCTGCCAGATAACTCTATGCTTGTGCTAGGAGATTTTGCTGAAAACTATACGTTTGTGGTTCAGGACGAAATCCAGTCGTATCATTGGAGTAAAAATTATTGCACTCTTTACCCAGTCGTTGTTTACTTTAAGCAAGGTGAAAGACTTAAACACAAATCATATTGTTTTATATCTGATGACCTAGAACATGATACTAACTTTGTCTACGAACTTCAGAGAGAGCTCATTGATTTAATAAAGTTTAAATATCCCCATATAGAGATAATTGAGTATTTTTCGGATGGCTGCGCTGGCCAATATAAAAACTTTAAAAACATGTTGAACCTGTGTCTTCACAAGACAGATTTTGGCTTAGAAGCAAATTGGACATTTTTTGCTACTAGTCATGGGAAATCTCCCTGTGATGGCATTGGAGGGACTGTTAAACGTTTGACTGCCCGTGCCAGCTTGCAACGCCAACATTCCTCGCAGATATTGACAGTAGCATCAATGTTAGAATTCTGCCAAGAAAACATTAAAGATATAAAGTTTTGTTTTCTTTCTAAAAAGAAATTACAGGCAGTTAGAGAGGAACTGAAAAATAGATTCTCTAAAAGGCAAACCATTCCAGGAACAAGGTCCTTTCATTTTTTCACACCATATAGTGACCACGAAATTTGCTTCAAGCGAACTTCAGAGGATGCAGAATTTTCTGGCAAATTTTCTATAACTGGTAAAACAATGTCTCAGGAGAAGATTAGGTATATGTTGCTGAAGTGCTGATTTATGTTGGGTTTCTTTTGAAAATATCATTTGTAATGTATCTACTGAAGAAGCATATTGCGAAACGTTAATCAAGTTGTTTTTTTACTGATCATCTATTTAAATTTTTAAAAAACATTACAGTCTAGAGCTTTTGAATACATATATATATATATATATATATATATTTATACATATAATATATATATATATATATATAATATATATCATAGATTGAAGAAAGTAAAACTACATGGTTTATCTCTACAAGCCTCTTTCGTGAGTAACTCACTCTTCAGGAGATGTTGACATACTAGAATATTCCTCGCATAAATAGATAATACAGTACAGA